AAGCGCCCGTTTAGACACAGCCACTAATTTAGCAACAAATCCCAAAGAAAAACAGGTGTCTCGGGAATTGGACACGCAATCATTTGAAATCAACCCACACTCGTTTCGGTTTTAAAATAATAGCTCTCAGAAAAAAGATGTCACAGGTAAGCTGAACATAGTTCACATTTTCGCTGCTACCTTTGGCACCGATGAGTAAAAACTATTCTATTTTTAATTGCCTCACTGAGTGAGGGCAGTTTAAGAAGCCAGTCATCAAGATGGATGAGGCATTTCAAATGTCGAGGCAGCAGTAACGGCAGCCATTTTTGGCTACAATTTGAAAGTGGAAAATAATCCGTGAATTAAAAGTTTTTTTCCTCATAATTTACAATGAAAATGCATAGTAAATATTTGATGGATTCAAAGATTTTAAAATTAAGTTGAAACTATATTAGGAAAACTATTTGATAATGCGTCAATGCAAATTCGTCATCCAATTTACATTTAGTGTTTAGAATTTTTTTTTCATTAAACTTCAATAAAATTTATAGTAAACCTTTTAATTAGTTTTATGACATTTATTTTATTTTATAATCGTCATTGATTAGCAGACCCAATTTTACGTTTACGACTGCCAATGTTCAACTCCGTACCCTTGTATTTTTGAACCTAATTCAAAAGACAAGGTAACTCTTCAAGTGCTATGAAAAATTTGTCTTGGTGGTGGATTTTTTTTAAATAGAACTAACCTACATTTGCGTTACATGCAGAGAAAATCCACGATAACCTACCATGATTGGTCCAACGGTATGGGACTTCTAACCCATGATCCGTCTACCACTGAGGATATTCAACGCCAGCACCGTGGTCAGTGCAAACCGGGTGCAGAATTCGTAGAAATCAGCCATCTCTGGGATTTGAACCTGGTTCTACTCACTCGAAAGGGAAGGTTCTGTTCTTCGAACCACCACGATTCTTTTGAATTTGAAATGAAAATGCATTGTGAATATTTGATTAATCCGAAGATGCTAAGAGATAAGCGGAATCAATATTAAGACACAAACTATTCCGCAAATTTGATGGTTCGTCAATATAAATGCCTAAATATTTAAAAAAAAATCGCCATCCAATTTACGTGCTTTCTGTGGAAAATTTTTATCATTAATATTCAATAAAAATGCATAGTTAATCTTTAATTAGTATAACGAATTTAAGACATGAGGTGAGTCAATACAAGAAAACCAACTTTTCCGCAAATTTGACGATTTGACTGAATAAAAGTTTATTTTTATGAAAAAGAAAACCAAATGCTATGATACATTTAAGCTGGATGATTAAACTGTATTTAAGCTGTGAGTTATTGAGTTACATATATTATTTTTAAATGAATTTTCTATGGTAGAAAAAAACGTACCGCCTTCTATAAGTGTGTCAATGCAAATTCGTCAAGATTTTTTAAAAAGAGCCATATTCAAATTTGAGACTTATAAAGTTAGTAAGTAAGCATACTTTGTTGTGAAAAAAATGAAGATGTACTGGAATAAAACTTTGAATTATTCCGTCATTAAGTTTAAAAGATTCATTGTTTTTACATAATTGCCGAACTTAATTTTTTTAACTATCAAATATTAAAAAAAATTAAATCAAACTTAGTCAATTCATGTGTAACAAGATAATTGACACAAAGCTTTTAATCGAAATGCACAATCAAACATACCTACTGTTCTGATCAAAATAGAGCACAGTAGGTTGCCTAAGTCTTGGGGGTCTTTGGGCGAATGTTTTTGTAGTGGCCCCTTACTAATATATAAATTTAAAAACTTAAGACTTGAGTATCTGAGCTCTGAATCAGACCCTAATTGTCATCCCCACAGAAGTTTTAGTATTTCTAACTTATATACCTGACGTTGGGAGAAATTTTGTTTTAGCCACACAATAATCAAACCCTACATGAAATGAGCCCTGGATCAAGAGGACAGTATCGGTATTTCCGAAAGTTTTAGGATTCCTAACTTATATACCGGTTTTTAGGAGAAATTTTATTTTTCCATACAATAATCAAGCCATGCATAGAGTGAACCCTGAATCAGAACCAAATTTTTGCATCTACAGAAGTGTTAGTAATCCTAACTTGCCTGTTGTTAGCATTAATTTTGTTTCCCCGATGCCACTACGATAAGCAAATCAAGGCCTAGTTTTCGTACCTACATAACTTTTAGTATCCTGACCTTGTAGTCGATACCTGTTATTAGGATTGATTTTGTTCCCCTTTAAGATGTTGAATCCCGCATGGAATAAGACTTCAATCAGGTTCTAGTTTTTAACTTACAGAAGTTTCAGTATTCCTAACTTACAGGAGAAATTTTATCGTTAAGAAAATTCATAAATTCTTTCAGTAGCAAGCGTTTTTCTCCAAGTTGTGCAAAAAAAAAAAAAGAAAATCAAACTTAAATGAATCTGCAATTAAATTACAAACGTTGCACAAGAAAGCTTGGATTTTTCTTTTTAATTATTAAAAAAGGAAGGATCCCCAAAAAACTTTCAGTTGGCAGAATGTGGTCAGGTATGGCGGATTCCGCGGTTACTTTGTTACTTTTTTTCACAGTATCATCAAGGAACTCGCACCAAGACTCGTGAATCTAGTTGTTTTTGATGTCGCGGTGCATTAAAGATTTCTCTCTTTAGGTGTACAAATGGGAAAGGTATTTTTTTGGCACAGTCATGTCGTGCCGTTCTAATCTCTCCGCTAGAGATAATGCCTTTCCACTTAATACCTCTCAAGTTTTCTACCTTCAAAGAAGTTCCTAGCTTAGAGCTCACTTCTCTCTCTCTCTCTCTTTTTTATTTCCTTACCTTTTACGATGAGCAAACGAACCGCTTAGATAAATCAACAGAGAACATAACGGTGTGTTTGTTGCGACAGCTTTCAATCAGAGTCTTTTCTAGAAACTCAAGTTCGAGCATCACCCTAGAAAGCTTGGCGAGATTTCTTTCGAAGTATATTTTCAGACTCCAAAGTTTTCATATTAATTTTTTGCATGCAGTAAATTAAGGTTTTCTGTTAACCCTTGCTATGTGTATTTTCTTCTCGTTCATAGTTCTTATTTTTTGTAGAAAAGCATAAAATCCTCAGTCTAAACTCGACTCTACACCTGACAGAAATAAGTTATGTAATTGATGTTGTTTCGTTATTCCGCAACAATATATTTCGCAAGACTTGAATTTGTAGTAATGCATAAAAGATACAACAGGCTGTTTCGCGTGCAGTCAATTTGACTTAAATACAGCATTTCTATTCACATTGGGTGTCTATTCACATTCTATTCACAAATTCACATTGGGTGTCCATTTTAGTTTGGTTCTCCGTATTGGTATAATATTGGTGGTTTATGTATTTCTTTTAGGTGTACATATTGGTCCATAATGACTTTCGTTATTGTGACCAATATACAAGAACATTGGCCATTTACAGCATTTAATAAAGTAATTTCATTAATGGCTAATCTTCAAAGGGAATAATCAATGTAACAACATTGAACATAAGTTACGGTTAATCAAAGTTCTGAAAATTTCTTCTGAAAGTCTTTGCATTTAGAAAACCATAAATTCAGTTTTTACCATACAAATTTACGTAATGAATAAAACGGAAAATTTACATTGAACCCTGTTCTGTGATCTGTGGGACAAGAAAATCTGTTCAAGAGATAAGCTTTTTATCTCCCGGACCGTCCCACTAAGAGGACGCTATATCGTGGGAATACTCCTTCATGAAAAATTCACTTGACCATGAGGGATTTAAAAATTAAAGTAAAGAAAAAGTGAGTTCAGATAAACCTCAAGTAATTCATGAAGTTTTAAATGCTGAATTTTATAATGCTAACAATTTATGGCAGAATTACCAATTATTAATAATTAAAATAACAATGCAAGTGAAAAAGAATTCGTCATGAAAAATTTCTCCCGTGGTTTGGTGTCCTTTTAAGCCACGATGCAAAATCTGACAAAAGATTTACGGAAATCGATTTTGTCGTTATAACAGAGAAGGAAGCTCTGTAAAGTTTTCTATTGACGTAAATATAGACTAATTTTTCCGTAGACTTTACTGTAAAGTTTAATGGTACCATAGAACTGTAATGACAATTTACTGTATGGCGTTTGTAATAAAGAGAATTTCTTTCAGTTTACTCAAAGTCTATAAATGCCTCATTTGAATTGTGGGCCAACTCCATCTTCGTTCATTTTGAGATTCAAAGCCTTGACTTAGTGTATTATTATTTTTTCTATATTGTCTGATTTCTACAGCTTTCTTATAAATAGGCTGGGAGTATATTATATTTTCAAAATAAGATAGAAATGCGGTTTGTATAAACAAATAACTTGCATGAACAAATAACTTGTGAGTTTGTATGGACATTTTTTTAATTTTATTTTGTGGAGTTAACTCACTATTCAAATAAGACCCTCATATCACTGGACCTGAATTTCAGCAGTTATTTGATTTCATTCATAAATAAATTTCATTCATTCTCTTTGTCCATTTCATTAAAGGAATGTACTAAATTTAGTTTGATGTGCCATCAAGATATGCCACTAAAACAGGTTGCCATTCCAGATTTCTCTAGTTTTGTCCCAATCTTAGTACTCTTTAACTAAAAATGTTGATAAATACTTTATTTACGTCGCACTAGAGCAACTTAATGGGCTATCGGCGACGGTGGGGAAAACATCATTGAGGAGGATCCGAAAACACGCCATCACAATTTTGATCCTCTGCAGAGGTCAAACTTCTTTATTAACTTTAATGTCATTAAAATCATAACATTACTATTTGTGCTGACATCATAATAATGACTTTATTAACGGCAATGGTAATAATGTTGTAAGGATATTAATTCAAGTGACTTACAGTGACTTAAACTACATGTTTAAAACCTTTTGTATTAAGCAATAAATAATATGTTGCCAATGTTCAAGATAATTTCAAACATGTAAGCAATAATGTTTTGTCTTCCTTTCAGGCGCATGTTTCCTGCATTCAAAGTTCGAGTGAGTGGCCTAGACAAGAAGGCCAAATACATTCTGCTGATGGACATTGTAGCAGCAGATGACTGTCGCTACAAATTTCACAACAGCCGGTGGGTGGTGGCGGGTAAAGCCGATCCCGAGATGCCCAAAAGGATGTATATTCATCCCGACTCACCATCCACGGGTGAACAATGGATGCAGAAAGTTGTCTCCTTCCACAAACTAAAACTGACCAATAATATCTCAGACAAGCATGGTTTTGTAAGTATCCATTCTTTTCAATTAAATACTTCAAAACTTAATACTTATAATCAAGGGGGTCAGGGATGCGATTTTCCGATCCAGCGGCATTTTACACCCCTCCCCCTATTTAGCACTTCTTCAAATAGAAAAAAAAAGAAAGAAAAAAACTTGATTCTTGACATTTTTTATAGTTCAGGTAACAAATTTTGAAATAAATAAAAGCTTATATTGTAATTGGGATCAACTATAGCCAAGAGGAAACTTTCCAAAATAGAGAGCAAGTCGTTAAATGCCACGGGATCGTAAGTTGGCGTCCGGGATAGGTTTTCAAAACGTTTTTAAATAGTCATTCACTTTTTTTTTTTTTTTTTTNAACGTTTTTAAATAGTCATTCTTTTTTTTTGCATTATTGTATTATTTAATGAGTTAATAGATTAATACAAAAAAGCTCGCAAATTTTTTGAAAAAATTAAAAATTTTACGAAAAGTTTAAAAATTTTAAAAAAATAATGATATTGAGGTGGTGTTTATAGTGGTTGAAAAGGAGAGGACAGATCTTTTGACTAAAGGGGATCATTCGGCCTCGATACATTATTTTGCTACATAATTTTTTTAAAACTTTATTTAGTGTTAGCTTAAAAAAAATTCAGAAATTCATTTTCTATTATACATATTTTAAACCGTTGTGACTCAGGGGATAGGGTAAACGCCACCCACCCAGTGAGGTGCCCCGGGTTCAAATCCCAGCGATGAGTGGACTCTTAAACGAATTCTGCACTCGGCTCGCTGATGTAAAATATCATCAGTGTTAGACGGATCATGGGTTAGAGTCCCCTTTCCATCAGGTTGACCATGGGAGGTTTTCGTGCTTTTTCTCTTCATGTAACTCAAATATGGGTCAGTTACATCAAAAAGTCCTCCGCAAATTCTAGTTTGTCCCAATGCTTGATCCAGGGATTACCTTGTCTTCTGGGAAGGATTCAAAATTACAAGGTTATGGAGTTGAGCAAAAGAAAACTCAGAATAATAAATATAGGTTAAGAAATAAACATATTCATATCTACCATAATTAAGTTTTATCTTCAGTTCCAATTAAGATTTAAAAACAAAATTTTTCGTTATTTCAAAGTGAATTAATTGAATTTTATTTAAATCTTAAAAATCTCAATATAATTATGATTGCGTCCCAGACCTCCTAAAATTCAATTTCATATTTAAATTTTTTTCACGTAGAGGAATTGTTTTTCTATAAAACTGAGGTTATTTAACTAAAATTATTTTATTGTTGCAGAAATATTAGCACAGAAGTATGGTAATTTCACAAAAGTGTACTAATACCATAGTAATTTTTCAAATTTATAGTAATAGAATTATAGTAATTATAGTAATAGATTGTTTCTCAGAATTATATAAATAGTGTAGTGATTTTACACAATTATAGCAATAGTATAGTAATTTCACAGAATTAAGATAGATTTACTAATCCAATAGAAACATTTACTCGGATTAATATACATTAAATATTTGATACTATCCCATACGAAACTATTGTTTTAAACCATTAAATGTTTGTATAATAGTAACAATAAACTATTTATAATAAAAAGTTAAATATTGAATTTAATAATCCATATTTAACATTCTTTACTATCCCTAGTATATGTTAATTGTCAGTGATTATAGAGCATAAATAAAACAATTTTTAAATTTAAATAATAATTTCTATTTTTGTAATATTTCCGGTAATAATTCCAATAATAATAATCCCGGTAATAATAATTCCGATAAATGATAATACTGGTGAGTGCATTAAAATAGTAACAGTAAAAAGTTGAGCTAAACAAAAATGTATCAAGGATACATTTAATAAAAAATAAATAAATAAATAACTAGCCTAATTAATTAAACATTAAAATAAATAAATTAAACATTTTAACATTTTGATTAAAATATTAACATTTCCGGATTTTGATATAAATGAATGCGATGAGAATATTTGGTTTATTCTTACAAACCACCAAAATTTGGTGTACCAAAGTTTACCTTAAGCTTGTATAGCAATGGTAACAGATAAAAGTTTAAGTAAGCGAAAATGTATCAATGATACATTTAATAATAATAATTATGATACATTTAATAAAAAAAAAAGAATAACTAGCCAAACCCAAAAAGAATTAGGCCGAAACAAAAATACAATTTAACTCATTTAATGATAATTTCTGGCAAAGTTAAACAAGTACATATAAACCTGGAGCATGTATTGAAATGGAATAAAATATACAATTTAAAATTCCGAATCGAAGTTTTCTGGAATGCAGGGAAGGAGTACAAAAGAAAAGCTCTCCAGGGTCATTGAAAGATTCGAATTATTCATTTGAATCATGATCCATGCCTCTTATCTTCAGCAATTGTCACTCCCAAAGTCTTTGCACATTTAGCATTTCTTATTTTTTATTCACACCTGGCTTCACACAAAACTGTGAATGGCATCCGTTTACTACAGCTCTTGAGAATACCCAAGTTCCACGCTTAGGTGAAGATTTCTGAAAAGAAAAAAGAAACGTACAATCTCAAGTTGATACTTAATATCTCACATAATCTTATCTTACATTTCCTTTGTTGGAGAAATAATTCTGAAACTAACAGTTCGAATCATTGTGAGAAGAATACTTATGGATTCATCAACGCCAAGTTTCCTCAGTTCGTAGGCGTAATGAATTTTTAGTTGGGAACTTTCACGCTTATTGGACGTTGGCGAAATATTGGCGGAATTATTATATTTAACTTTAAGCCTAAACTTAAATTTCATTTTTAAGTCCTTTTAGCATAAGAAATTGTGAAAGATATCTACTTTAACAAAACAAATCATCTATAAATTATTTCAATTCAACATCTGTAAACTAGATTTAAATTCTTAAAGAGGCAAAAATAATGAACTTATCTCCCCAACAAAATGCTAATTAATAAAAAAAATATTTTGATTTGGTGTTAAATTAAATATTTTGATTTTTTCTATAAAATAGCTATATTATAAATCATTTCATGCTATACACTTTTAAAATGAGCTCTTTAACTTAATTGCTTAATATTGAATTATTTTATAATATATAAAGTTCTTTTTACCATGTATCTTAACTGTGAATTATTTCATCATATGCTCTTAGTTTTGTCACCAAATACCTTATTCGTGAATTATTTCATCAATAGCACCACAGGGAAATCTTTCATCAAAGAATATTAAATTTTTGGCAAACTCACTTTAACCCTTTAAGTGCAGCCAGTCAGTCAGCGTAAATTCACCAAACAACTAGAAATGTAAAACGAATTGCTTTTAAACGTTCAACAATCACTGTTATTTAAACAACGAAGAGCTAAAGTATGTCCCATCCCTTGAAATATACCGTCTAAATTCGCACTTGTTAATGTCCTGTCTGAATGAAATTTCCAATTTTAATTTGTTGTTCCTGAAATGGTAAAGAACAAGTTCTTTCATCAAATGCTTCAGTCTTGAATCATATCCTCATATGCTGCTTAAAAGGGAGTTCTTAAACCAAACTCCATATTACATTATTGCATCATTACTACTTTAAAAATGCTTATTAACACAGAATGTCTTGGTAACGAATTTTTCATCGAATGCTTTAATGAGGAATTTTGTTTTTGAATATCTTAAATAATCTAATTAATCTATATAAAAATAAACTTTTTTAAAAAAATATTCATTTTAATAAATAACCTTACTTTGATTTGCTGTTAACTTAACTTTGGGCAGCTGATATAAAGTAGCTTATATTTTTGTTACTGTGACCAAATACCTTGTTAAATAAATGAGCTATTTTAAAATACTGAATTTTTTTTTCTTAGACGCCTTATTCAGGTGCTCGTTTATTAATTTAAAACACTTTACATTTATTTTAGAGTGGAATTCTTTTATTAAATCCCTTAACATTGAATTCCTATCAACAAATACCTAAATTTCAACAACTTAAATCAAATACCCTGAATCACATGATACCAACCCCCTTCACTCACAGAAATTTTAGGTATTTTTGAGGTTTATTTGAGATTGTTTTGAGGTGTCAAGGATGTTTTCAAAAACAACCATGAAAGGTTAAACTCCCAAGGCGTGTATTCAAACTTGAGGTTATTTTGAGGTTGATGGAGATTTATCTACTTTATAGCAACCAGCTTTGGAAGGTTGTTTTTGAGGTGTACGGATTATTTTTCTACACTTCAAGCAAATACATATATTTGAGGAGTTCGAATATTTTCACTCGATTTAAACCAAAACTATTTCTGAATTTTATATGAGGCTGATTTTGTGAGATGTGAATGAGGTTGAAATTGAGGTTTATTAATTAGGTTATTTTTGGTGTAAAACATAACATCATTTTTTTACCTGAGGTGTATTTTTTTACATCTGTCAACCTCAAAAACACCTTTTGTAAGGTTTCAAAACACCTCACAACCACAAAAACACTTCACAACCTCAAAAACAGATTTTTTTTTGTAAGGTTTAACATGTAGAGCAATTTATGTCACGTTTTTCAAATTTAAGAGTCGTAATTTTATTGGCACAACAGTTTTCTCGTTAAACTCTTCGTGAATTCTTTTGAATCAAAACATACGCACGCTACAAGCTTTTGAAATTCGAGATCAGAGGCATTCAAATCATAAACAAGTATTTTGTTGTACCGTAGACATATTTTTTCCATTGTTCCAACCTTTACTCACTGTGTGGTACGAAATAGTCAGTAGACTTTTTGAGACAGAAAAAAAAATCATAAGTAGAGTTGTATAGCCACATGGATATCAACTTACTTTTATCTTTGTTTTCTCTACTCATCCGTTAAAGCGGCATCTTTTCGGACTTTGAAGGCGCCACCAGGCCAAAAAAGGGGTCAATCGCTGACCTACAGCTAACCCTTTGAACAAACAGTAAACATCGTGTAGTCTTCCAGTTTAGTTTGTGAAGAGAGGCTAAGTCGATTTGGCTATTGTGAAGTAAATATTGTATA